AGAATGGCAGTCAGGTTTATCCTTGGATCAAGCAGTTATTACCCTACATTGAAAGATTATATCCTTGAATATTCTGTTTTTGCAAGTATGCATCTAGTAGCTGTTTGAACATCTGTATGGACTCTGATAAAACCACTTCTTCAGGCAGAGAATTCCATATCCTGATTGTTCTCACAGTAAAAAAACCTTTCCTTTGCCTTAGACGAAATCTTCTTTCTTCCAGTCTAAATCCATGACCTCATGTTCTATGTAAATTCCGGTTTGTGAATAGATTTCGATACAATGGTTTCTATTGGCCCCGAATATATTTGTATAATGTTATCATATCTAGAGTTGAGCGGACACCTGGATGCTCGGGTTCGCCAGGTTCGGCCAAACTTCAGCAAAAAGTTTGAGTTCGGGACTTGAACTTGACCCCGAACCTGAACCCCATTGAAGTTAATGGGAACCTGAACTTTTGGGCACTAAAATGGCTCTAAAAAAAGTCATGGAAAGGGCTATAGGGTTGCAAAAGGAAGTATTGCCTTAGTACTAATATACTTACCCAGTGGAAGAAGAATGTTACATTGTATACAATTTTAAATAAAAAGTTTACAAACATAGCCAGGATTCAGCTGTAAGCATTTGCAACACTTACAACAATCAAGTAACACACATTCATATAAAATGTAAGTTACTTATCCTGTCAATGTAATGACAGGAATGAATAAGTAGATAACTCCCTAATTCCAACGGTATCAGGGAGCTTTCTACTAAAATATTACTTAGTATTAATAAATTATGCCCCTACTCGCTATACCGCGAGTAGGGGCATGTCTATTAAACATTGGCTGCTCACTGTTAAAAAAAAAAAGGTTCCTCCCTCTTGAGCCCCCACCCCTGAATGGCGGGTGGGGGCCCTAAAGTAAAATAAGGGGGGGACCTATTGTCCTCCTCCCTGCCCCCACCTGGCCCTACCCATGAGCGGTGGGTGAGGGCCCTAAATATGAATAAGGGGGGGACCTATTATCCTCCCCCCAGACCCCACCCCCGAGCGGCGGGTGGGGGCCCTAAAGTAAAATAATGGGAGGGGAACCTTTTGTCTTCCCCCCAGGCACCCACCTCTTAGCGGCGGGTGGGGGACCTAAATATCAATAAGGGGGGGACAACTTTTGTCCTCCCACTGGCCCCCACCCCTGAGAGGTGGATGGGGGCCCTAAACTAGAATAAGGGGGGGACCTATTGTCCTCCACCCTGGCCCCCACCCATGAGCAGTGGGTGGGGGCCCTAAATTAGAATAAGGGGGGGACCTAATGTCCTCCTCCCTGGCCCCCATCTGTAAGCGGCGGGTGGGGGCCCTAAAAAAAAATTATGAGGGGACCTAATGTCCTCCCCCTGGCCCCCACTCTTGAGCGGTGGGTGGGGGCACTAAATACCAATTGGGGGGGACCTAATGTCCTCCCCCCCAGACCCCCACCCCTGAGCGGTGGGTGGGGGCCCTAAATACCAATTAGGGGGGGATCTAATGTGCGATCTTGGGGTTAACGCTGTTGCTGGGTGCCTCTGCGTTTGAGGAGGGCTGTCCCATCACATGTGATCGCTGTGACAGCCAGTCACAGTGATCACAGTGCTGCTGGGACTTCTGATCCTCCTCCCTCCACCTCTGTGTGTGATTAGAAGTGGAGAGAGATGGATCATTTGAAACTTTGTGTCCCTGACAGACACAAATTGTTTAAAAGTAAAAAAATAAATTAACAAGGGTTTTTATCCTGTGATCACTGACAGCAGTGGGAAAAGCTGCGCGCATTCAGCCAGTCTCATAGGAAAGCATTCTCAATGCTTTCCTATGGACGCTGGCATCTTCTCTCTTTGAAAATCACAGTGAGAAGCGCGGAAGCGCCTCTAGCAGCTGTCAATGAGA